TTGATTGTAGACCCTGACAGTTATGCACCTACCTACTTGAGATTTTTGAATTTGTTGACTTGGTGTGAAATTTCCTAACCCCCCTTTTTTCAGTCTTTCTTAACATTTGCTTTAGTTGTCTTCTGTGATTTTTCAAGTCATTTGGAGTTGCTAAACTGAACAGTGCATCTATTTGTTTTCAAGAACAAACAATTGTTTATTTGGCCATTTCTTACATTTTTGCGATCGGTCTGATAGGATAGGTTTATTTTAGTTTTCAGCCAAATGATAGCCTCCTTCACTTACATCAGTATCTGTTTGGATCTCATAGTGACAGCTCCAGTGAAAAGATACCAAATGAAATCAAGTTTAGCAATGCATTAGCAATGAAACAGACCTCACCTTTTTAGTCAATTGTTCAATTACTATTGAGCCTCTGACAACAGGGGACCGTGTCTAAAAATGCCTGTAATCCTAAACAGTTACTGCAATTCTGTTGTTAGAGCCACTGAATTAAAGCCATTGTGATAATATGCTAGTCATATGACTAATATAGGTTATTACAAGACAATAATTCCAATAATTATTACTCCAGAGTTCACCGTCTTAAAAGGACAAATATCATGTCACACAGTCTAGGAAACATAAACAGTAATAACTACATTTCTAAAATTAAACCAACAAATGCATGCAAAATAATGCTAACTAGTCATCCAGCAGCTGGGAGCATCTCCACAGGTAGTGTCAATAACAGTAAAGACAGGTGAAGGATGGTGAAAAGAGAGCAAAGCTGCTCCAAAATAACTTGTACTAGGATAGAAGCTGTCGCTATAGTTCAGATTTTTGGGGTTTTATCAAATGGACTCATTTTGCTTCATTCCTGGCATCGTCTTACTGGTGGCAGGGCTCAGTTCCTCTACACAACTTGAAACGCAAACAGGTGGGGCAAAAACAGTGTGTTGTACCATGTAATGCTAAATTGCTTCAAAGTATTGTTTCTACAATTCCCAAAGTCAACAACACTTGGCAAGTAATTCTTGATACCAAAATTAAACATGATATCTAATGGACTCTATAAAGTAAGACGCTGAGTTTCTCTTACCATTTCTTGCCAAGACATCCTCCCAAAGTGGACACACTCCATAATAAAGGGTTGGGGACACTTGTGCTGGCTTTGAAGGAGTTTCCACTTTGGACTGCAAGTTAGTGCCCTCAGCAGAGCTGTTTGAGTTTGTATTTTCTGATATTTCTTCTTCCTCTGGAGGGTTGAGACCCACACCGTAGCCAAAGTCCAACTCTTCATTGGCAGCCTTTGAGGAGCTGCTGCTTGCTCCAGAGGTTGTGGGCACAACAGCCGAGGTGGCACATGACAGAGATTTGGCATGATCCACCACAATGTTCAAGGCACCAGCTGAAGAGCTGCTGTCTGTTTCAGTGGTACTGCTCTCTGGTCCAGCCAGGATACGGGCTAATTTCCTCTCATAGGTGGCACGGGTGGTGGGTGTAATGGGTCCACACTTGACGTTTGCCCGGGCAAACTCCTCGGACAGTTCATCGGCACTTAGCCCCCTCAACCTGCTCAGAGCCGCCTCCATGCTTCAGCTCCCTGTAACACAGCACAAACTTCAGCATTTACAAACAGCAGCTATTGATAAACAACTTCCTATACACTATAGTTTTATCATTATTCATAAAAATAAGTAGTACTTAAACTAAAAGTTGATGGATGTCTAAATCAAGCTTAACTAGTATGTCAACATTTTCCACTGCATTCCACACGTGTGCCATTAAACAGTCTCCAATTACTGTGTGCACAATAGCTAAATGCCATGTATAATTTTATATACTCCAACAGTCAGTCCAAAGTTTTAAAATGTAACACACTGATACTACCATCACTGACACCCCCCTTTCAGTAGCAAAAAGATAATCATTTACATTTAATAAGCATGAGTATGTGTCTTCAACAGCCTCAATGATTTTTTTAATTAATATGACAGAAAAACACCCGGTGGTACTGATGGTCTAAATGCTTATTTTAACGTAGCATATTATGCCTCAACAGAACCACCGAGACCAGTGTTGGACTAGCATCTACTAGCTAGCCTGCTAACCAGCAAGTCAGCTTTAAAAGCCGGGAGTTTGCCTGACAAAGCTAGCACAAGAGACGCTGCTCGGAAGGAGATGTAGATGGGGCTGGAATACTGACCAATATAAATCTGCATTAAAGTAAGTGCATAATAACAATATTAGTATGTTCATTCGCACGCTGTCACGCCCAAGTATGTCATTCGAGGTGGGTTTTCAGGCTGTAACGTAATAAATGTGATACGTGTTCGCAGTGATGATGCTAATAAAAAAAAAATTTAGTCACAAATGTGTCTCTTTACTTACCAAGGAACATTTTTTATTGAATGTACGGAGAGCTATGGGAAACCGTTTAGTTTTGCACAGATCAACTGTTGGACAGACACAAAGCTGGAGACGGTCTGGAAGAGTCTCATTGTTTACAACACGTTCTGCGCATGTTCAAATTTAAGGGAGGGCGCACGATGCGTTTACGTCTATAGGAAAATTTACAACTAGCTCACTTGAAAGTGACAGCAGCCAATCACAAATCGATTTTTTTTTTAAATTTTCTTTCTCTTAAAATATGCTACTGTTGTGGTTAAAGATCATTTACATGACACCTTACACTGGATGTGACATAGATTTAAATAACATCACTGCTGAACTCGCTCTACATCACTAGTTTATTGTTCTAAATACCGTATGTTTCTACATTTGTTAATAATAATACTCAACGTAACATGTCAAATATTTTGTGCATGTTGGTGACAAGAGCCTTTATCGGGACATGGCTGCTGGTCTACAGTTAAAAATACACCGTCCTCATATTTACGTACTTTCTGCTAGCCTTTAATGTAGCATCATGCTGTGCCTTAGTAGACGTGACTAATTCAAGGAAACGATAACCTATCGCCGATTTTTGTAGTTAATAACAGACATACTATTTTACAGTGAATAAGAAAAATACAAAAACAATGAAGAATCTGAAGTGTAAAACTGGTATAAAGAAAATGGTAAATATTTTGTGTTAGCACAAAGCCATGTACGCAGGCCAAACTGATCACTTATCGGGTAAAACAAACGCAAGGCATGGCGAAGGTATTCAAATAACTGAAACGATCACCTGCACGAATGATCGCTAAATATGAAAATTAGAAAATTAGATTAGAGTGACATTAGGTATGCGATTCATTTCAGGAAGCTGAGATTGTCAGCCATGCTAGCAGTCATTAGCCAGCTGGCAAGCCAAGAAGCTAACCACTCGAGCTACCGGTTAGTGACAATAAAAACTGATACGAACGTTAAACGCACAGTTTTTTCTGGTTTTACATTGCATATAACCGTAAACATGTACCCCAGTCAACTGTACGTCAATGATATATTAATATATAATTTTAATTGTACCATTCCCACCTCCTCCTCCTCTCCCCGGCTATTTTGCTAGGTGTCTTCTCACCGCGACGGTTTCAAAATGCACAGAGCGAGGACCCGCTTCCGTCTAAAATACTGCCTGAGCAAAAATATCGATTGAAAAGAGAAAATTCAAAGTGGAAACAGGAAACAAAAATACGGGGTAATTTACAGTTTCATATTTAACTTATACTAGAATGGGCACACCGTGACAGATGAATAGTGCAATTTTATGATAAATACCAATATCACATCACTCGGCATTTTAAATCAGGGTCAATATGTCTGGAAAAAAAATATAACAAAAAGTTGTAAGCAATAGAGAACACGGTCCAAAAACATATGGGAACACAGTATATCAACATGTTTAATGTTTTGTGTTATTTGCTTCATCTCAATAAGCATTCTCCAAGCATCATCCCTTTGGAAATTCATCAGCATAACATGGTATTTGCCTAAGCGTTTAGTGTGGGAATGAGCATCAGCACAGCAGCTGCAGCACAACTGCATGCAGAAAGCTACTGTATCATCCAACAACCACTCTATACTGAAATGTTAGTGCAGCTGCAGCAGAATTATTATTGTTATCCAATTTATGGTTTGCATTAGATTCCATTTTTCTTTACACTATCAATTAAGATGAATAAACAATCGTACAAAAAAGGACATGTACATAATATATTAACCTCTGGAAACAACAATTAACTTATCCCATTACCCATGAAACAGAAAAACAGTGATTCAGGAGTATTCATTTTTTTGTAAATACAAACTTAATGTATGAACTGTAACAGAAACTGAACACATCTGATTGCACTTACTGTTATTAGAAGTTTTTTTGTTGTTGTCGTTTCATCTTACAACTTTACCCCTGTCAGTCCAGTTTTGATCAAGTGTGCGATGTCAGGTGATGTAATCCACATATTTTACAATAAACTGGTTTTAAGTAAGCAGTCACACATATATACAATATAACAAGTGACATCTTGCACACAACCTCAGCAGAAATATATTCACCCAAACAAATTAGTCCTTTATACCATATTAAAGATTGCTTAAGGCTTTTTTTTTTGCGTACAAATTACTGCCGTCCATGCTAGACAAACTGATATTAACGTTGTTGTTTTTTTGTTGTTTTTTTAGACTTTAAGAACCCAGGGTGACACAGCAAACATATTAAACACTGCATCATAACATGAGGCAATACAAAATAACTGACTACAACTGTGCGTGATGAACAGGAGTGATAAAGTTTTAACACAGGCTGCCTGTTTAACCATGTCAGTTTTTTCATAGACGAATGACTTCACTCATAGACAGGCACACATAAATGGAAGAACATGTGGTAGCCAGCCTTTAGGCGGCCTCGTGGTTTGTTTCTGTCGCTGAAAACACTTCTTTAAATGAAGCCAGTCATCATTAAGCAGCATGAATGACACTGATCTAACATTACGTGGATAGTAGCCAATTTTTGTGAGGAAAAACGCTAAATTAACAAGGAGAAGGGAAAAAATTGATGGCCTGAAAGATTTGTATAGACGGGGAAAAGAAGCATGGAACAAAAAGTTGTAATCTCTCAACTCTAAATAAATAAATGTGACAAAGGTGTAACACAAATAAAACACAACCATCAAATAAAGAAGAAAGAATAAAGCTATGGTATGTAAAGTATTACTCTGCGAACGCACCTCTGTGCCGATGGGAGAAATGCCAAATGTTGGCAGCAATTGTTAAAAGAGAAAAGGTGTAAGGGGCTAAAAAGTGCCTTGGTGGATAAAACTCCACTCTCCCTCTATTGGCCTGAGAAAAAAGTTCTTTAGTTATGATTGCTGCTGTTCCCCTTGGTTGTTATTTTCCACCTCCATGTTGTTTAGCTCTGCTGAGTTGGAGATGTTGTTTTGAAGCCTCAGTTGATCCAGTTCTTCCTCTGTGTTTGTCCATGAGCTCATTGACTCATGTACTGTTACTGTGTGTTCCTCCATCTGCCTTTGGAGGCTGTCCATCTCCTCCCTGAAAGGGAAAAAAACAACAGAAAAAAACTGTTACATCAGTTCTGGCATTTGAATAACTGCCCAGCACTGCAAAAAAAAAAGTTTCATGTCGGTTTGCTGATAATGTTTAACCAGATCATTCACACAGAAAAAAAGATCTTACTTGAGCTGTCGTAGACAGTTGTGGAGATTGTTGAGCGGCTCCTTGTTGACAGAAGTCGAAGGCTTCAGCAACTCATCCAGTAGGGAAGCAGGCACTGGGCAGTCTGGGATCTTAACTGGCGTTGCTGGGGTGGATGGGTTCCCGTCACTTTTCAGTTCCATGCGCTGCTGCTCCAACAACAACAACAACAACAACAACAACAACACATTATTTTTATATGGCATTATACTTGCAGTACTGACCTTTACATCTCTGTAAAAGACAGAATGCCTGCATTACTCATACTGTAGAAATTAATGGGCACACCCAGCTAAATGACAACATATTAGCCATTGCTAGTTGCACCCATATGAAATATTAACATACGTTTTATTTGCTTCAGTTTTAATCTTTTTTCACAACAACCTGTGACGAGACTCTCACAGAGGGAGAAACTATAATAATCACATTCAGCAGTTAATACTTTACTGTACATTATTTAGTGGACTCCTGAAGTTTAAATGATGTCACAGCTAGGAACTTATAAGAAAGCACTAAACTCGTCACATAATACAACCGTTCACGGCACAAAAAGTTGCCTCACCTTCCTTAGACGACTCTGTTTGAAGTCCTGTTTGAGTTGCTGGTTTTGAAGCAGGACCGTCTTCATGCTGTTTCTCAGCTCACCCACTTTGGCCTGCAGCATAAACTTGTCCTTCCTAGTGCTGCTCAGCTCCTCCTGTACCGACTCCAGCTCCACTTTAATATTCTGAGTCAGACATTTTATTTTAAATGGCTTGAAAGAGGCATAAATGACAGAAACATGAGACACTGTGCCTGTACTGTATAATCAGGTCAAAGCTTGCCTGCAGAGCTGTCTGTAGGTTGTCGAGCTCCCTGTGGTGGCACTGCTCCATCATCTCCACCTGCTGTTTCTGAGCTTCAATCTCCCTCTGCCTCTGCTCCACCTCCCACTTCAAATCTTCAACCTGAACCAGCAGCCGGTGTTAGACGTGAGTGTTATTGAGAGGTGATCTCCAACAGTAAATTGGAAGGAGACTAAAACAGGTTTTAACGAACTGCAACACTGAAATGTTTATAGGAAATGAGGACTACATAACCCCAAGTGTTGTATTCGAATCAGTTCAGCTAATCAGCATCAAATATTACAACATTCACACAACAAAAACTTTTTTTTTTAACCAAACTGACTTCTGTTGGTTAGAATACAAATGTAGCCCAACTAACAGGTAAAGTAACCCAAAACGAGTACTTGCCTCTTGGTTAGTGAGCGGCTGCTTTGCCAGTTCATCGTCCAGTTGTTTCCGGAGGATCTGGAGCTGGGAGTGAGCCTCAGCCAGCTCCTCTTGGAACCTGGCAACCTCCTGAGCGTGCTGCTCATCCTGAGCCCTGCAGAGTTTGTTAAGCAGCTTATAAAATCGTCAATTACTACAGGTTATGTAACACAGTATTAGATTAGAAATCATTCAAATTTTCCTGAAGTCACCGTATTCTTTAATCAGGCAAATGCACGCACTGTAGTTTGTGGGCTTCTTTCTGCAGAGCTTTAACCAGGTCCTCTTTGGCCTGCAAGTCCTTCTTGATCTCTGACAGCTCCAGCATGGCTGCCCTGTAGTGCCGTCTATTGTGGGCTGCCTCCGCCTTTGCTGCTGCCACCTAAAGGAAACATGTCATAAAACGATATGGGAAATCCAAAGACCACGCTACTCCCAATTTGGTGTCAAAAAGGAAAAGTACTGAGCTAGGCATGTGACAGTTTATCAGTTCGATTTATAGATTGTAAGCAGGTTCTTGCTGTGTCTTGTGTCAAAACAAAAATACTTTAATATGAGTTATTTTGAGGTTGTACTTCCGCTTAAAGAGAAGCTTAATTTAGCCTAATATGCAGCACAGAAGTCTTACCTGTTCTTTCAGGTCCATGACTTTGGTCTTCTCTTTTTCCAAGGCCAGCTGTAGACTTTGTACCATCTGCTTCATCTGCTGGTCCTCCTCCTCTTTACGCTTCAGAACAGCTTGAACCTGAAACCCCACT